GATGGTTAATTATATGTCATACACATGTATCAAATCATTTCCAAATGTAGGGACTTGAGAGGTGGCTCAGCATTAGATGCTCTTGCAGAAGACCTGGGTTCGAATCCCAGCACCCACATGGAAGCGAACAACTATGTGTAACTCCTGTTCCAGGGGATTTTGTCTCTGCAGGGATTCTGCTCTCTGCAGGCAGTGCCTGACACAGATGCACTTACATACATATAAGCATCACACTCATACACATAAAAAATAAATAAATAAAAACATAAATCAAAACTTCAACAAATTAAATCCCTTTATAGTGGAAGTTGAAGAAAAGAACGGCACAAGACCAGCTAGTTAAAACAGCAGCACGGTTGGGAAGGACCCCAGGCAGATCCGCCTGCCTCTGCCTCCTGAGTTCTGGGATTGAAGACTTGTGCTGCCATGCTTTAATATTTTAAATTATGCAAGAGAAAGACAGATATTTGAGTATATATTTATGACATGTTTCAGGCTTGAGAGACACTAGAAAATTAAATTCTACAAATCAGTTTAAAATGGAGAAAATTAGCAAGAGATGTGATCAGCAAAATGCCTAAAGTGAGGTTTGTTTATGCTTGCAGAAAACTTACTGATTGTGTACAAAATGATGGGACAAACCTATTGTTCTATTCCACAGTAGGATGACAACTGTAAACAATAAGATTATTGTACATTGTAAAATAATTAGATGTCCCGCGCTATCGTCTCGCCAGCAAGAACGACGCGGCACACTCAGGATCCTTCTGCAGAAAAGCTTTAATGCATCTTGAGAGGGAGAGCATAAGCTTACAGGGCGAAGACCCCGAATGTCGGAAACCCAGCCCTTATATAGGTTAGTAAGCCCGTCTTGGACGTGGCAACTCTTGATTGGTCACAAACTCATCAGCCCATATCACGCCACGAGGTAGGCAGAGACTAGAAGGTGGAAAATTACTTCGGGCATGCGTACTGACTTATTTACTGCTCAGCATGAACCGGATGTGAGCGCCATCTTGTAATGGCGTCTGCAGGGACAGCAGGCGGCTCCCCACATGCCATAAGGATGGACTTGTCACCTGACACCTCTGACGTGCAGATGGTCTTATCTCCTGCCCCCTCTGATGTGCAGATGGTCGTGTTACCTGCCTTTTCTGTCATAAAGATGGTCGTATCACCTAACCCTTCTGACCAGCAGATGGTCGTGTAACCTGCCCCCTCTAACATGCAGATGGTC